GAAATGATTGTTGTTTATATGAACATGAATCAAGTGTTTTTAATTCAAGATCAATTGAATTTTCAACAGATATTAATTCATCAACACGTTCTTGAAATGTATAAATAGCTTCAGAAAATTTATGAACAAATGGTTCTAAACGATAAGATTCCCAAACATAATTTGCACCTTCATTTATATGTGATTGAATATCACGTTTAAGTGATGCAACAAGAAGTTGAGATGATGGACGATCAGCTAACTAAAAACACGAGCACATAATTGAAATTATTCAAAATCAAATTTATCATATAACACAAGAAAAAATGAATTAGTTCCTGAAGTATATTTTTTTTTCTTTTATTGTTACTATATATATTTAAAAATATTCAATAAAATTAATAATTACTTTAGCAATTGCATTATCATATGTTCGAACACTTTCAATAAGTGATACAGCAAATGGATATAAAACATTAGCTTGATGAGATTTATTAATTATTGGCAATGGAACACGAAAACCAAGTGCACCTATAAAGTATTAATTAAAACGTCCAATAGCATGTCTTTTTTTTCTCTTCGGATGAAAATTGTTTTTTTTTTTTTTTTTTTACTTACGAATATTTCGAACTTCTTTTGATAACATAATAATTTCTGGTGAAAAATTTACTTTTAATTTTGTTACTAATCCATGTAATGTTCGTGTTGATTCTGTTGCAAAAATTTTTCCTGTTAAACCATGATTTTTTTGTTGAACATTTTTTGTCCATTCTTCAAATAATGGTTGTGTATTAAGTTTACTACGAAAATTATCACCATCTTGTTTTAAACGTTGTCCTTCAACATGTTGTTCCCAACTTTTACCTAAAACATATTCAACACGTCTTAAATATGTATTTAATTGTTTTTCAATTTGTTTAGCCCATATTATTGAACCACTTGTTGGTGGTAAATCATTTGAACGACTTATACGATTTGCTTTTGAATGTACATATTGTTGTTTAAATTTTTCATGTAACGATTCAATATCATCTTTAACACGTTGAATTAATTGTGTTTGATATTCACGTATAGCACCACCAATATGTGGTCGAACAAATAATTCATGAAAACGTGAAAAAATTCGAAACATTTCATTAGCATTTTTAGCTGTACCAAGTTGATCACGTAATAATGATGTTATACGAGCTTCAACACGATCAATACGTGCATCATAACTAAATTTAAAAGAAAAAAGAAAAAATCAATTTATAATCGTCTGATTAAAACAATTGACATTAAATAGTTTCAAAAAAGAATTCTATTATGATTCTAATTTCATTTCGAAATAATATTTAGTAGACGACTACGATATATTTATTTTTCAAAAGAGTAAATCAATCCATAGATTACATTTTATCACAATTTTTCTGAAGGATCTCACTATCAAGGTAAAATTTGATCTGAAACTTTGCCCACACTAAGACTTCAATTAGATGAATCTACTTACAAAGTTTCAAAATTTTTGGATACATTATCTTCAGTATGTTAGTGTCAAAATAGTTTTTTATGAATATTGTGTTATGTATATCTTTTCGGAATCCAGATGAATCCGAGATAATCAACAAGCGTTCCTCCGCGCTTCAAAATGGTCGATTCACATAAATAACACTTGACGGATATTATCAATATATTCATCTGATATTTTCTACGTATTAAAGTATGATGAGAAAGTAGTTGGGAATTCATGAAGACTTCAGATGATCAATGTTAGAGTTAGAGGTATTTTTAGAAAAATACTTTGAAGAATATGTCTTATATTTTTATTGGTTGAAAATTTAACAATACTATTTAATTTTCTTTTATACTAAACAGATTTTATCTATCTATTAGCTAATGATTGTCTTTGTAAAATACTTTTCATTGGAAAAATAATATCATTATTTTAGTCGAAAAACAAAGTCAATCAATTCTAACTCAAAATTATTTCTGTAAGATAAATAGAAAACATTTTTTTTTTTGTAAAAATCATTCCTTTGTTATTACCGTTTCATAGCTAATTCCCAAGCATCTTGTCCTTCTTTACTAACATCAAGTGCATCAATTTCTTTAACACTTTCATAAGCCATATTAACTTCATCAATAGCATTAACATCATTTAAAACATTAGCAGCTGTTACTGTTGTACGAATTTCATTTGATTGTCCATTTGCTGATATTTGATTATTATCTTTATCTTGTTCATCATTAATTGATGGTTGTGTTTGAAGTAATGCTGGTACTGGTTGAAGTAAAACTCGATCAATAACTGAACGAAGTTGTTCATGTTGTTTACGAAAACGTTTCATATGATCTAAACGTTGTTGTAATTTTTTATGTGATAATGATACACGCCATGCCATACGAACATCACCAGCACGTACTGCACGACGTACATCACGTACTTGTGTTGATAAACGTTCATATTCATCATCCCATGCTGCAAAAACATCATCACATGCTTTAACAATACGTTCAAAATCGGTATAACCAATATGCATTAAACGATATGTATTTAAAACTTTAAGCATTTGTTGCATTAAATCTTGTGAAACAGCTTCCATTAAACGTCCAGCACGACTAACTGGATAACGTGTATTACGAAGTTTTTTTAAATGTTGAAATATTGTTGTTAATGCTGTACGAATTTTATCTAATTCATTAGCTGATAATAGATCATTAATTGGAAAATCTTTCATTAATACTGAATGATCTTTAACTGTTTCCATAGCTGCTTTTAAACCTGTATCATTATCAAAACCAACAGTTGCATGAAAACGTTTAACAGTTTTAAGTATATCAAATGTTAATTGTACTTCAACTGATTCACGTTTTTCTTGTATACGTGTTAAAGCACGTTCAAGATTAAGCCAAAATGATATTTCTTGTCGTGTTGAACCTTTCATTGAATCTTCATGAAGTTTAGTTACACGTTGAATTTCTCTAACCCAACGATTAACATGTGATTGAAGTGAATTAAGAAATTCTGTATTATCTAAATATTCACTAAAATCATCAACTTTAGGACGACGATTTTCAGTAAGACATTTTTGTGCAACTTGACTAACAATTGGATGTATAGCAAGATTAACTTCTGGTATTTCAATATTTTGTTGTAAATGAAGTAAACCCATTTCTAATTCAGTTATTTTCTTTTCCATTGTTGGTGCCATTTTATCACCATCACTTTACGAGAGAAAAACAAAAAAAAATTTTTTCAAAAAAAAAAAAGAAAAAAACACGAATTATTAAAACTTACCGTTCATTTTTGCCTGATTCTCGAACATATGATTTAAAATAAGGACCAATAACATGTGATATATATGCATGTAATGTTTCATATGGACTTGAATCAACTAAATTAATAATACGTAATTGTGTATGAAATTTTTTATCACTTTCAATTAATTGTCCACGTTTAACAATAACAAGTGAAAGCATTTTAGGATTAATATAATGAACTTCAGTTGATAATGTATAATATCCATCTGGTATTAATGATGATGATGATGATGAATTTATTGTTGATACATCACCAGATGAATTTGCTGTTGTTGAATCAGTTTCATTTGATGATGGATCTTCTTTAGGTGTTATTGTTTTTGAAATAAGTATTGTTTGACATTGAGCATCATTTATAAATTTTTTAATACAATCAATTGATGAACGATCTGTAAAAAGTCGTTCAATATCATTTGTATTTTCAAGTGATGAGTCAAGTATTGGTGCACAAACACGTTTTAAATAATTAATAAATGTATCTAAATCAGCTAAAGATACATTTGCTGTTGATGGTGTATTACTAGTTCCCGGAGGTACATTTGGATTTGCATCTATGGATGGATCATCCATTTCTTTTTAATCTAGAATATGAAATGAATGAAAAAAAATATATATAGACTGATCAAGTGCTATTCTGATGATTCATCAAAAGACAAACAAAAATCACTTGATGACTCATTCAATGAAACACCATATGTGTACTGAAGAATATTTATGTATATATATTTATAGTATGGACGTGTGTAGTTTGTTATTCGATCTATTAAAGAATGATATTCCATTGAAACAAAATAAAATAAAACTATTATGAACAAATCTAACAATAGGCAGAAACGAAATAAAGAAAAGACGAAGGAAAGAAAAGAAAATGAATGTAACGTCTATTTATTTCTTTGCGTTAAATGAACCGATTCATATATGTATTGCATATAAGTCATAGCTAATAAAAATAAAGCATGTTTAAAAAAAAATAACTCTTTTCTTACTAGTTTAGTTTTATATACTTGATAGTACAGGTATCTTTTCTTAAATATTCTTTCTTTTTTTTTCTTTAAAAAAAATAGGACTGGACCAGAAGAGTCCAATGAAAGAACGAATATGTGAATTGTTTATTTTTTGACTATAAATAAAGGAGGATGAAGAATATTTTTAATGAAAACGAAAACTATTTTTAGGTTTTCTTATTAGATAACTTAATAAAAATGAAAGAAAAAACAAAACGACTTTATCAATTTTATTCTAGATATCTCAAATTATCAGTAAGCAAACTAGCGAGATAAAAAAGAAAACAAATCAACAATTTATTTCACTAGATTATATAAGACTAAAATATAGAAAAAAAGAATTGTAAAACAAAAAAGTATTTAGTTCATAAAAAATATCAATCATTCATACTAAGATAAAAGAAAGTTAATTAAATATAAAAGTTACCATTTCTTAATAATAATAAATGATTTACCTATATATACGAAACGCATACACTTACTCGTCATATTTAAATACTGATGCAAAGTATCTATGTTAAAATGATACTATTTTAAAACATAAATACTCACTGTAACCAACATAACTATATATAATATTTTTTTTATTAAATTCGTTTAAAATTACTTTATATCTAGAAAAACACAAATCAATCACTATTAGAACATGTTTTTTTTTTTTGGTTTATATTTCCTATCAAAAACAAAACAAAAACAAAAACACAAATCAATGCTAGATTAGAATTGTTCTTCTTGTTGACTATTTATATTCTCTCGTTTTTTATCATAATTCATTGATAATGAATCATCTTTATTAGAATAACGTCGTTTTGATGAACCTTCTTCAACACGTAAACGTTGTCCTTCAAGAATATGTTGTGGTTGAGACATAACAGCTTCAAATGCTTCTCGTTTATTAAAATCAATATAACCAAAACCACGACTTAAACCTGTATCATTATTGTATAAAACAGTTGCACGTGTTACATAACCAAATTGAGAAAAATAAGTACGTAATTCATGTGATGATACTGTCCATGGTAAATTACGAATGAATAATTTATATATTTGTTGTGCCATGATCAAAATTGAAATAAAAGTTTTTTTGTATAAAATCGAATATCGAAAGAAAAAACAAATGATCAATAATATGATTGGTTAATTTAATTATCGAATGATCAACGAGAAGAAATCATAGAGAAGAGTGTTGCTTAGAAGTAGAAAAGAAAAATGGCATAAATGCATTTTGATAAAACAAAAAAATATAAAAACAGTAACGATTGTTATTTTATTTAATGGATGTATGTGTTTTCGAAGACTGGAAAGAAAATTGTGTTTGTCTTTTGTCGTGTAGACGATTCAATAGAAAACAGAATAAAAAGGCAATTTTTTTTTTTATTATTTTATTGTTGTTATTTTTACAATGCATATGATCATATGTTATTCTTTACTTTTATTCATTAGATTGTAGATGGATTTGAAAGAACCTCATGTTCCATTTGTATATCGATTAGGTATATTCAATTGAGAACATGATCGTTTAGATAATGAATATCATCTTCATCTATATCGTTTATCGTTTTCATCATTACAAAGCACACTGTTATATTATTCTTCATATATGACAAACGATATCTTGAATTGTCTACCGTTGATTTGTCGACTAGATCTCCAACAAAATTATGTGTGTGGCTACAACTCATACTCTTTATCGATCATTGTCTTTTAGATTCATCACGACGATTTCATGAAAACCTTTATTGAGATAAATTAGGTAACAATGTTACAGTAAGCATATCTAGTGTTACTCGTTTTGATCATGATCCACCTTTATTATTTGATTTACCGAAATTGAATAGTTCTTTGAATAAAGAACAATTTGGATATACTTAATATCATGATAATGAAATTGAAATAGGAAAATTTTTTTCGGAAAATTATTGGAATCGACATAAACTTGCTGGAACATCACTCTCTACTTATCTTGTACCTACTGTACTTTAATTAGAATAAATAAATAGACCAATTCTTCTGTTGTATATATTTATTTTAATTTACTTTTTATAGATTAAAAATGGTAGAATATTCACTTGCTGGTGAAGGTGCTGGTGTATTAATTGATCGTGATTCATATGCAAATCGTCATTGGCCTGAAAATGATGCCTCTGCTGAAGTTTATAAACGTTGTGGTTGTACCATGATAACAAAATGTCCAATACATGATGATTATTCAACATATAAATTTCTTCTATCTGATCCACTTGCAACTCAATCTGATATTTGTTCATATAGACAAGAACAACAAGAATTAAATCGAGCGGAAACTATTGGCAATTATATACTTTTTCATGAGTTACTTGATCGTTATCCATATTATTTTTTACGTGGTTCATCAAAAACAGGTGATACATTTTATCGACAAAAAGGTGCACGATTTAATTATGTACCACCATATCGTGTATGTGCAAATGAATTATATCATAAACAAAAACAATGGATTTTAAAAGAACAAACAAATGGATCAAAATCACGAGCATCATCAGCACCACCAACACCATTACCACAAGATGAACATAAAAGAGCAACAGATGAACGAAATTTTCTTCCAGCATTACCAACAAAGAAAAATTCAACAGCTAATCGATCAGCAGCAAGATCGTATCATCGTAATAATTATTTTTATGATATGGCTTTATGAGTAAGAATTGAAGATTATCGTCAGCTATCCAAATTAGCTAGTTTATAAAAAAAAAAACTCTTGCTCTTCTTATATATGTGTGTGTGTTGTTCATTCTTAAAAACAAAAAAAAAACTTGAATTGCTTCTTCTTCTTCTTCTTCTTGCTTTATTAGATTGTCAAAGTGCCTTTGTCTATAATATAATAATTCTATTCCTCCTTATTTTTCTAGATAGTCGGTCATTTTGACCGATATGAGTACAAGTGATTCTTCTTCATTACCTGCTATTGATAATCAATTTGATTTTGAATGGCCATCTGTTTATACACGTTTAACTGAACCAATATTTGATTGGAATCGTTTTCGTCGTAGTCAACTTCAATTTAAATTGGCTGAAAGTTTACATCATAGCCATGTTTATGATCGATGCAATTGTTCTATGGTAACATCTTTAAATGATTTTTCTCTTTGTCCTGCTCATGCTGCTAATCAATTTTCTCAAGTAAAAATTGATGGTTCAATATTACCAATATCAGCATGTCCATGTATGTTTTGTCGAAAACATTTTACTGAAAAAGATCGTCCTCAAGGATTACCATCAATACGAAATCTTAAACAACTTTTGCCAACAAGAGGTTTTATTAATTCAAATACATCACCACCAACAATGAAATATTTATCTCGACCATTTACTGTACCTGTTTTTCAAGCTACTTTTCCACTTGATCATACCTTTGCTACACGTTATGTACCAACATATAAACGTTTATCACGGCCAAATGGTTTAAAAGAAGAAATATTTGATGTTCAACGAACAATTATTTCAAAATCAGCTATACCAACTAAACTTGGTATGCGTCTAGACGCTGAACCTGATCATGATCATACACAAGTGTTAAACCTTCCACGTGAACGTGATTCATTTTTTCGTAGTTTAGATGATTATTTTCATATGGTACCTGGCGTTGGTCCTACAATGATTTCATAGACATAGACGATTTTATCTATTAATTTTTAATTGTATACTCACCTTTTTTTTTTTTTTTACTGTCAACACGAATCTTATTACAGATTATCTGAAAACATTCACAATGAAAAAACTTTTCGAACACTAGCACAATACTCATTGTCTTTACTTTTATAAACAAAATAATACTATGCTTGTCTTCATTAAATTATTAACTTGTTTTATATGATGAAAAATTGTGGGCAATAATGAACGTAGCCATGACAATTTGAATTTTTTCGTTAGAAAAGTTATATAAAATAAAACAAAAGTATACATATGTGTAAACTGTAACCATGTAAATTAATATTCTATGAAAACTATTTGATACAAAAGAGTGATGTTAGCTTCTCATATTTCAAATACATTCGAATTAATTTCATATTTATACTATCACATGATATTGAATGTCATTCATGCGTCTTTTTACTCATTTGATTCGTCATACGCATTTAAAATACGAAAAAATAACTTTTATTTGTTACGGTCATCGATTATGGTACATCTTTAGTTAAACTATTTGCTCTTTCTTGTGTGTTCGTATGTATTATTATTTTGTCTTATCTGGTCTTATGGCATGCATTGTATTTTTTGGTTCTTCTTCTCTCTTCACCTTTCTTCAGTTTCTACTTATCCTACTCGAAGAAAAGAAAAATCATCTGTATAGTACTATATGTGAAGGACACGAAATATTTCAACGAAGTGTATGCGGCATGCTTTTTTCTGTCGGCATGTTTTTTTCATTTTCATTTTGTTCTGTATAGATGCAATATACTATATGCAAAGAGGGATGAGAAAGTTATGGATATTATTCACGATGAGACGATGCGCTATGTACAACTGAAAACTCATCACTACTATAATTTGTGTATTCTACAAACACAAATTCAGCTTGTTTAACAAGTCAATGACAAAAAGGAGAAGCGTATCGAAGAGATGCGCATAAGAGACTGAAAAAATACAACATGTGCTGTAAAAGAACATCCTAGAAAAAAGCCAATACATGCCATGCTAAAGTATGTTGAAAAGAAACTGAGCGATAATTATTGAAAAATTTATTTTTTTTTTAAAATTATAACATTGTTTCTATCAAATGTTGGAGTACAACGCTCTCAAATGCAGAAATCCAAGAAAAAGAGTCAATTAAAATATATTTTTCTTTTCATGAATTATATTATTTTTAATGACAATTGTATATAGTAATGATCTTCTAAGTGAAGATACAAATGTTTCTTAACACTTTCTTTTTTCTGGTCAAAACTAAAGGTCTAGAACCAAAATGCATGCTAATCATCCCTAATGTGCAACGAAGAGTTTTGAATCAAGTTTCCTAAATACCAATATACTTTTCATTTAGAACTTGATTCATTTAACTAAATTCTAACGAAATTTTTCGCATCAAACGTTTGACTTCTCTTTCGATATTTACGATTGATAAGCTTACATTCCATGTATAATTGGATTTAAGTGGATCATGATTCAAGAAGAATAAGCGTTTATTGAATAACACTTATCAATAGATTAAAGCAAGAAATGGTTTCAATTGCAAAATTATTCTGATATCGAGAGAAGAAAGAAAAGTTATGTAGACACCATATTTGTCAATAGTAGCTTAAGTTGAGTCATTACAAGCATCGTACATTCGCCATTTAGATGACGTCTCACTTTGTTTCGACGCATAAAAAATGACGATACATTAGTCCCTACTACGCAATTGGAAACAAAGTACTTCCTACTTGCAAAATAATAAATATTGTATTCTAAAAAATGAACAACATGAAAAAGACTTTGAAGAGAAGAAAAACAAGATACTTAAACGGACTTAGAATTTTTCCATTGAGTATAGTAAAACTTGGATTTTCATCAAAAGATAATAATTGAATGTTGAGACATGTTCGAAGCAATGGAAATAGATAATTTCTATATCTTAGAAGAAGAAATCAAAGAGATTGTAGTAAAATTAGACAATTTGCAAACTCGAATTAGATTGAGATTCAATGATGAGACTTCAGAATATGATTGTATACATCAAGTTTCTTTGATTCGAGATTTATTCAATATTAAAAAGATAGTAAGATTATTAAGCGATGATTTAATGAACAATCAACTGTCTGAACCTTCTCTTGTAAGTATTCTTTTGATGAGAGCAAACATGTCACAATAGAAATTCGTCTTTCTTCTTCATATAGGCTGTAAGTCATATATGGCGTATAATAGAATTGTATTCTAATTCACCAGAGAATGTTATTGAAGGTACACATTTATTGGAACGGTTTTTTAAATTAAAAATGCATTCAATGATTAAACCAACAGATTATCTGAATACGATTATTGCTTATGTTCAATGGCAAAATGAAACTGTTCGATGTTTTGTTGATCAATTTAATGAGAAACTTAGAAATACTACATTTGATGAAATTGAACATCTATGGAATTGGAATTATCGAGCAAATGAAGGAATGTATTTTGGTGGAGCTGCTCGCCCACTACATTTAAAAAAAGTTACAGAATTTTCAGCATTAATGAGTATTTATTATGATAAATTATGGCCTATTTATAAACAAAATCGTAGTGCATTATTTGATGCTCTTACAACATTATTACATCAAGAAAGTAGATCATATTGGCTTGATTATGAAATATTTCCATGTACTACCTCGAATACCATTCTTGATAAATGTTTACAATATTTTTTTTTCAAAGACCGTAAAAATACATGGTTTATTAATAGTAGTTTGTCCGATTATATACCATTCGTAAGTTCGGCTCGAGAAATATTTGCTGAGAAATTTATTGGATCTAATATGATTTATCCTCATCAACATAATACAGAATGGATTTTAGATAATCTTAAACAACGTTGTTCAAATATTTACGATCAATAAAAAAATGAAAGTAATCCCATTATACTAATTCTTCTAACATCAAAAACTCGGTTTGGTCATCGAATAGATGTTGA